TTTACTGTAATGATTTTGTTACTTTTGATCCATTGTATATGACATGTGGTTGAGAATATTGCATCAATAAATGTAACTTCTACAGTGTAGATGGACGACCTCAAAAATGAATTTTAGAATTTCTTTGTTAATCAAAAATATATGAATTAAGTTAAATTATTGTGAAGTATTCTTTTTTGGGAGAGAATAAGATGTCGGAAATTTTCAAAAATAGATAAGTTACGTCAGTTTTTATGTGTAAATCAAAATTGAAACGCTAAATTTAGTTTCAAAACTCAAGTTACAAAAGAAGATTTTCAACAATTTATTGAGTTTTGATTTCCTTAAACATTATGTTTTTTTTAGCCGATTAGAATTTTCTCAAAATACGATTAGATACTCTAATTGCAGTCGCTATTTAAGTGTTTCCTGTCCACTCAGAAAACACTAAAACTAACTACTTTCATCATCAAAGGTACAGGAAGACGCTTAAAAAGACAACTTTTAAGGTTGGAAAACATGTAAACACTTTTTTCTCAGAAAATATTTTGTCGGATTTCGTAGATAAAATGACTTTGTTTAATGGATGGTGCATGTCAAACATATTGTAATATGTTATCTAATGTAATGTGAATAGGTATTGGTTTAATACTTTTACCTTGTTATGAATTCTTTCTCAAAAAATAACCAATTAACAGTGAATTACCGTCATTATCAGATTGTTTCCATATTAATTCACATCGACCAATATCCAATAATTTACAATTAGATTCTTTTATATTCGTAGTCTGTTGAGTGTTTTAGTAGTTGTATTTATTCGATCGTTCTGCTCATTCATTATATAAAAAACCAATAGTCAATAGTGTGGAAATGTGTGTAGTTGAAGAAAATACCGATAGACCCATTTCCAAAGTCAGATCCTTAAGATGTTATCTTTGTTTTTGTTGTATCTACTAGATGGTACAAAAAACTGTACCCGTGTTGAACACTATTCTAAGTATAGATTTAGATGGATGTATTTTATTATATTATTAATAACATAATCAAATCAATAACTAAAGATTGTTGTAATTTGTCTATTCATCTCGATATAGTAGAATATGTTGAATCCATACTACCATCACGATATGTCGGATATTGTCGTAATCTTCGTTTTTTTATGAATTGATAGATAAAAATAAGTCCTGTACAACAGATACATATCATTAATAAAGTTATAAATCCTCCAGCAATTAAGATCATCCAATCTTGTATTCCAAAACCTGCATCAATTGATATTTATATCAACATAAACATGATGAATTCTTCTACCTAATATTGTAAATTTGTCTACATTTGGCAGCATAGAAGTTTCTTCATCAGCTATGTACATAAAATATAATAATTACTTCTTCAATTTATGTATATATATACTAATCCTAATTTAGTTTATGATTTTTGCAATCAACAACTCACCATTCAATTGTAACTCTTGTGGTAACTCAAAATCAACTACAAAATAAGAAACTATTGAAAATTTATTTAATAAAATCTAGACTTACATTGATTTACATATATCTGTAATTGTAAAGCTTGATTTAATGCAAGGACAGCTTCAAGAGCTTCTTTGTTTTCTTTATCTTTTTGTTTTTTATGATCAATAATACACCATATAATTATAATACATTTCAAAAAGTTCAATCTTTCCATAGTACTTTCAACTAATTCTTTTTCAGTCATTGCTTTCTCTAGATAAACAAATGATATTTATATTGAACAATCTTTCATGTTAACTTTGACATATAAATGGATGTTTTTCTCTACATGATACTCGTTTCAGACATAACGATTGATTATTTGAACGTATTGTTAATATTATACAATTTAATTGAAGATCTTCAATTGTTGTACTTGTACTATCACATAAATCATCTTTTGACCATTCTATATATACACATATATGTTGTTGTAGGTCAATTTCGGATTTTAGTATGGTCTAATTCATACTTCAAGTTGACTTCAAATCATCAATTCAATTCAAGACTAACTCTTATTAAATCAATGGTATAACATGGGAATATTTTGTCGAGAATGTGGGTGTAGGTTATTTCATCACTCACATCTTGATGTTCGTTTTTATAGAAGTTTCAAAAAAAAACTATATTTTGAAATTTTAAATTCATACTATGACAGAAGATATTCTAATATTTTTTATCACAAAGCTACTTATGAACTATCCTGTATATATATATCGATCAATAAATTTCTATGATTATCTTACTAGCATTTCCAATCCATGCACCTCGTTGAATATAATCTAAATAGATTTGATCATCATATTCTAATTCATGAATTTTTTTTTGAATTGATTGAAATTTTATTGAATTCGAAAAAGTTAAAAGTTGTGCAGAACTTGTTTGACATGCTTTATAACCATTATACCATGATACATCACCTGCTTGTGATGTTGCAAATGTAAGACAAATTGTTTCTTCTCGAAGATAATACCAATTAGATTGACATTGATTATAAGATGATGAATTGTCTTTTATTATTAAATATATTTAAAAGAAAATTTAATTGATTTATTTATTTACCTGCTAATATTAAATTAACTATACAATAGATAATAAAAATGAATTGTAACACAAATCTAAGATATAAACTTAGCATGTTGAATTGAAGATAAAAAATGCGCGCATTTCTTTTATTAAAATATCAAAAACTCTATGGAAAACATTATAATTATGTGAAAACTAGTTGTTATTTTTTTTAGTTTAAGAAAAGAATTAAAATTTCCGTTAAATTTGAAAAATTCTTTTTTATGCTTGAAATATTGATATACATGATACAAGTATTGGTTTATCTATCTTGATTAGAATGGAAGAATATATTTAGAAGTATGAAGTATAAATTGTGTTAAAAGAGGATTTCACTATAGATGTTCTGCTTCGCTTCATCTACATCCTCGACTATTGTCGAAAGGGAGCCAAACAAAGTACATTATATCGGTAGTTGATGGAACCTATTGGAAATGTATGTGCTTTAAGATAAGATATTCATTGGACATACCATAAACTACTTCTTTGAAAGTTGCTGTCTATATATTGAACTAGATTTTGAGCATAGTATTTAGAGATATCTATTTTAATGAATTTTAGATATGTTGACGATCAAACTTTACTTTTGACATTAGTTTTATCTTCTGTCTTTTTAATATATTACCCTGCAAAAAATGATGTGATTCAGTTTCTTTTTGAGACCAAATAACTGATTTCGTTTCAACAATTGCCAATTGAAGTTCACTTCTACATAGACAATTCAGTTCCAACGAAGGAAGTAAAAAATGTAGGTTATTCATGACAGAAAATTTTCACGAGCAGATATAGAACGCACGATAAACTTAGCAAGTGAAAATTGCTCTGCTTCATTCTTAACTGTATAAGTTATACGTATTTGAAAGTTCTTTGAAAACATATCTCGAATGTTGATCAGATGCTGTTCGAAAATCAAGTGGTCAATTTTTTTTTGTTATTTTAGATGTTTATCTTTGACGACGAAACATCAGGCTTCAACACTAAGATCCCTGTTGTCACGAGACTCGATAATTCTTAGAAGTGCAATATGCTTAAAATTTGTTAGACAGTCCGAAATTGTCTGTCTGGCTAGAGAATAACAAAAAAGTCTAGGATGGTTTATTTTTCCAAGCTTTTTCAGAATATATAAACAAAATTTGCTTGTACACATGAAAGATGAAGCTCTAGTTCACATTATACATTTCACTTTTCGTTTAATGTGCTTACAAGCCTCATTGATCTTTATTTATATTTCAAAATACGAATAACAGTATTCTTTGATATATGATGATGTAACGGAACAGTAAGACAATGAAATGGTTTATTAAGAACAGTTGTCACTGGTTATTCTGTAAGCAAATGCATTATATCGTTCTTCATCGTCATCAAATTTCTGTTAACTCACAATAACGATAGAAACATTTGAATATTTTCATCCAGCTATTTACTGTTAATAGTCCATGTTTGTACGACAGTGTTATAAGATGGATCAATAGTCTTAAGTTGGAAACTTGAGACTAGAGAAGAAAAAACAAATGTTAAGATAAATCTTACTCACAATAGTAGACAGCGAAAAATCACACTTTGGTCCAAAAACGCTAGATTACCTTTTCATTTGCATGTTGAAATTTCGAGTAAGAATAAGCTTTTTCCTTACTACAATTTACTTAGAGTTTAGGCGCAATGAGAGCAAAATTTAGTCAGGAAGATCAACATACTTTAATAGAAATTTCGAGATATGTTACAATCAAACTGAAGGAAAAAAGTATTTTTTGTTTTGAAAAATTACGGGTAGCCAATTTCGTCTTTTAGTCATCTGGGAAAGAAAATCGTCGTTGAATACTGATTATAATATTTCTTAACAGCTTTTGCTGCCCAAAATAGCTACTCTTATAACAACTGTTCATTAGCGAAATTCGTTAAATGTAAAAGAAATTACAACATGTCTCAAATACTTAAGATCAATATTTGCTTTTTATTCGATTTTATAGCTTGTTCTAATAAAACAGTTTAATTCTGTATTTTCATGACAAAATTACTAGCAAACTTCTACTGCATATCCATTGCAGGACCTTCTCGTTGACAAAAATAGAAAAAAAAAGTTTGAATTATTGGAGGGTAGAGATGTACCGTAGAAAGGAAATATGTCAAAACTACAAAAATTCGAATGATCAATTTATTATCATGGTTAGTGAACACTGTTAAACTTCAGAAAAAGTCCACATACTCAATTCTTTGCAAGAGCAAAATATTAGTAATTCATCGTCATATAGATAATCTTGCATTTTTCTATGGGCAACGGAAGAAAATATACTCCCGATTGAGTTCAGTTCTAGCAATACATTTATAAATTACAAACGATTCTTTATTTTAAAGATCTTAATTGAATACTTTAATTATTAATACTTTCGATTATTGATACAATCAAACAAATCAATATTCTATCTTTTAAAAAGAAAATTTATCTTAATAATAATTATAAACAAATAAATCTAATAAACACAAAAGTAACACATTAATAATCGGTATTATGTAACATACAGCATTACTATCAACTTCTCTATCCCACCAAATTTCTAAATCATTACTCATATCAATATTATTTGGTATATTAAAAAGTTGTGTTTCATAATTTAATATATTTTTACTTATTGTATAATTGATCCAATCACGATAAACACTTACACGAGTATATACACCTAAAAAATAATTGAAAATAATCATTCAAAGATAGCTAAAAGTTTTTCGATGATTTTTTTTTTCTTACAGAACAGGATGTATTTACGCTTAAGCGTAAATTTAACTTACCTGGTTTACGAGCTCGTGCACAACCTTCACCATAACTAGTTATTCCAACAATTTGCCATGTATGATTATAAGTCAACATCAATGGTCCACCGCTAGAAAAAAAATTCATGAATAGAAAAAAAATACGAAAAAGAACTATTTTATATGAAAATAGACCTATCTCCTTGACAAGTATCTTTTCCACCTTGAGTTATACCAGCACAAAATTGTTTTTCTGGATCATAGACTTGATCAGCACAATCTGATGGTCGAATATAAGGTGATTGAATAGGTAATTCAACTTGTAAAAGTACATTACTAGCACGACCCAAAGAACCTTCACGAATACGTCCCCAACCAATAGCAACCTAAAGAAATTTTTATACAATAATAAAAAGTAATATATTTGAAATGTTACAGCATTTGCTTGATCTGAAGGAAATAGTTTTGGATAACGTAATGTAGCCATAGGTAAACATATAAAACCAATTGTTTTATCAGTTAAATCAACTGATCTACTTAATTCAATAAGGGCAATATCATTGACTTTTGTATTTGTATCATATTGTGGATGTATTATAATTAAATTTGCTGATACACGTAAATGACTATTTAAATATGTATTTTTTTCTGTTGAATAATGAGCACCAATCACAAAAATATATTTAGATCTAATTGCTACAGTAGTTTTACCACCAGTCTTTTTTAATTCATCATAAAAACACTAAATAGATTAAATAAAATTTATCATCTTATAGATAGAATTATATAAAATACATGAGCAGCTGTAAGAACATATCGATTAGTTATAAGTGAACCACCTAAATATAAATTGCATATAAAGAAATAGAAAACTAATTAATAGATCAAAAATATGTACCACAAAAAGGAGAGTTTGTTGAAGCTAAACGAATACTAACAATCCATGGCCTAAAAGAATAACATTACTATATATGAGAATTCGTTCTTGTTGAAATAATCTACCATGAATGTGGTATACTTTCAATACCACCAACAATACGAGTACGTATTATTGGTTGATAAAATGCGCAACCACATTGAATTGGTGACCTATAATTATATAAATATATATTCTGATTATTTATGTAATATATTTATTGATACCTCACCATCGACAAATAGTACTATCAATTGAATGATGAACAATCAAAAGTATAAGCGATAATCGTACAAGAATAAACTTCATATGAGATTTTCACTTTTTATTAAACAATGACTCATCAAATGTAATGATAATGAAATAATTTAAAACTCTGACAAGTTCTTTTTTTAATGATAGACATTGTAAAACTATAAGTTTCGTCTTTTAACTAAATTAATAATTGAACGGTGAGAAAAATGTATTAAAGATAAAATTTGTATTTTTTGTAACATTTTTAGAAAGAAGAAGATATTCAATTCTGTAATGCATATTTAACATATAAAACTGAACGAACATCCATGCTCAATTGTATTTATTGAACATAACAAAGAATAAAAAACAGTTAAAAATTTATTCTGCACGAGTGTCTTAACCTTGATACGACCACCAGTGGTCCTTGTAGACAACATTTAGTAAAGTGCTGGCTTCTGAAACATTCAGTAAACAGTGGCCAACAATGACGGATCATCTTCGGAAAATTTCAGATTTACCCATCAAAATTTTGGTGAGGTATTCATCATTCATTATTGGCATGCTATGGTTCTTTTTTTACATCCGTGTTTCATGGTATTTTCTTAAAAAGAATTAAAATTATTTGATTTTAGGAATTTCGTAAGCTTAGAGTGTTGAAAATCTAATCGTCAGCAATCTATTTATGACCATTTAAGATAATGATAATTGGCCTTAATTAATTCTAATGCGATTTTATTGTTACTGTTTTTCTTTTTGTTTAGGAGTGTTCTTTCTATTTTACATTTGTGTGATATAGAGCCGTCGAATTATGATCTAGATATTTTAATCTTTAGAATAAATTTAAATGATTTGTAAGAATTCATTTTTAGCACATTATTTATTTATCTAGACGGTCAGATTTTAAAGTTAAATTCGAAACAGAGACCAAATATGAATCGAATCAAGATGTTTTTATTCGATTCGTTGTCTGGATCAAGAATTCATCGATAAAAAACAGAATAAGTTTAAATATATGCAATCACAATTTTATGAGTAAGAACAAAATTCAAGTAAAGCAAAATAAAATACTAATTATTATCTTGCAATCTGTTGCTGAGCATCACTTCTTATTCTTCTATTCTGACACCCATCGAGTAACGATTAAGTGACATCAAGTCGACAAAAAAAAGATGAAATGAAAATTGTTTGCTATAAAAAGTAGCTGAGAAATTTGGAACAAAGGATCGAACATTCAGATGTAGATGTGTAATTGATACTAATTAAATTAACTTAATCATGTGACGTAAAATGAATAATTGAGTAAAATAAGTCACATAAATACAATGGAAAAGAATAGCAGTTAAGGAATTAAAATTAAGTTCATCTTTTTGTTGAAAATAGAAGTACTAGTAGCAAATGTGTAATCAAATTATGCATACATATAGTATCATTTAAATCGAATGTTTCAATACAAAGAACAACATAAACTGTTCGCAATACTTTCGTCAAAACACGACCAACATCAGAAAGAAAGATATTCTGTAATGGCTCGTCATTTTTCTTTTGTTTACCTCTCAAATGTTTTTGATCATGGGTATACTTTTCAAAACGTTTGAGTCAATTTGTTTTTAATTTCTTTTGTGGGTGTGGTTGGGTGCGTGATGGGGTGTGGGTGTGGGTGGGTGTGGGCGTGGGTGGGGTGTAGGTGTGGGGCGTGGGTGGGGTGCGTGTGTGGGGTGTGGGTGTAGCTGGGTGTGGCTGTGGGTGCATGTGGATGTGGGTGTGTGGGTAGGTGGGTGTGCATGTCGGTGTGGGATGTGGGTATAGGCGGCAGCTGAAAAGAGAATCAACAGCCATACCCACACCCGACTTACACCGACACCCCACACCATTCCATGTACCATATATACATGTGTGTTTGGTTCTGAGGGTCAATTCTGTTTTATTCTTAGTGCAGTGATTCTTTTCAAGTAGTTCTTTGCTTCATTGTGTAGTTTTTATTTCTATTCAAATACATTTAATATTGTGCAGTTTCTCTCAACCTCTGCAGGCGAGGTACAGGTCATTTCAAAGAGGAAGCTAACAGTGGGTGTGTGGGTGTGGGTTCTGTTGAAAAGAAGATCCATACCCGCACCCACATCCACCCACACCCCTCTTTATTCTCGTAGTTGCGCGCCTGAGGTTATGAAAGAAAATTATATGTCAGGATCTGCAATGAGTAAATGATTAAATACTCAATGTTGTATAATGGACTGACTATTAGTTACTATACTATATATAGGTTTATCATAAATCGAAAACAGATAAGAAAAAAATTACAAATTTTATATTACATAAATCGATTGGGCTTATGATTTCTGTTTAATATTTAAACGTAGAATATCTATATTGTAAAAATTTAAAATTAATTCTTTACTAATTGAAATAAACATTCAAATGGACCACTAAGAATGAGTGAATTTATACTCAATTAATTTATAAATGCTTTCGCTTTTATACATTTTTTCAAAAGAATTTCAATACTTAATTATCTATCAAAATAATTTTCAATATATGATTTCGTTTTTATAATATGATATATAAGTTTTTCAATTATATTTTGTTTTTGACTTAAGCCGCCCCTCCCCACCCTAAAAAGTCAATTTTTGTCAAGTTTTTCGTTTTTGTGATTTATAGTGCATTACATAGAGAAAAATGTCCGCTATCGAACGCACTATAGTTTATTCATTTTATGACAAGCTTGATGGATGTTACATAATTTTTTCCGCGCCCTTATACCCTACAAAATAACGTTTTTACGAACAACTTTTATTTTTGAAGTTTTTTGACCTTCTTCAGACAACATACTAGAAAAACATATAATATACGATTCGATGCATCTTCATCTTCATCTTCTCTCTCGAACGATGAAAACTGCAGCTCTCTATCTTGTTTCTATGAAAAGTTATTCAAAAAATACCCAAAAAATAGACATTCGTATAATCATCCCATAT